ATCAATTTCATTTTAAAGAGTTAAAGATAGCTTCTTCAAAGCAGAATCAGCCCTGTACCTGAAACTTCACCTCCTTGGGTTTGGATGCTACAATTAAAGGAGAACTTTTTAAGAAGTCGTCGATCAGATTAGGAACTCTATAAAGTCCAATTTAAATCCAATGTGGTAATGCCAATTTTTCTACAAGGCTTTCTTCTTCCTTTTCTCCCCACCTAGAACAAATTTGTGGTCCCGGTGTTGTAACCTACGAATGCTGCTCTTTTACAGTTTGGGGGCTGTTGATGTGATTGAATTTATTTTTATTGACTGTACTTTATTGTCGCAGTCTTCCGGTTTATAAATTGCTTAAAGTGCAAAAAAGGACAATACGTGCTTAAATAATGGTGATGGCCTTGCGCTCTCTCTCTCTCTCTCTCTCAAACTTGGTTCTTGTCATCGCAGGAGTAGAACCACAACTTTGGAAAGTCCACAACTTTGATTTTTTTTTCTTCCCCCCCCACTCTCATTTAGGTGGATGAGATCATGATGACCCTGAAGCAAGCTTTCAGCGTGGCGGCCATCCAGCAAAATTTCAAAGCCCAGCTTCAATTCTGCGACGGGTGTCCGATGCAAATTCTTCATAAGCTTTGTGAAAAGATAGAAGGTAATAATTATCTGGATTGATCTATGTCAGTGGTGGCAAACCTATGGCACGGGTGCCAGAGGCGGCACTCAGAGCCCTCTCTGTGGGCATGCGTGCCATCGCCCCAGTCCTAGGCCTTCAGCTGGGTTTTATAAAACCTTTTCGCTTTAGGCCTCCGCCGCCGTGTGCAAAAAAAAAAAAAAAGGTTCAATCAATCAGTCACTTTCAACTTCTCGTGGGAAAAAAGAAGATCTTGCAAAGTTGGAATTATTGATTGAACTTTTTAGTCCCACCCAGTCTGCCGTTACCACCGCAGCCATGGCCACCCAATGGGCCACACCCACCCGGCACCCAACGATGCATAAGTGAGTTTTGGGTTGCAGTTTGGGCACTCAGTCTCTAAAAGGTTCGCCATCACTGATCTATTTGTTTTCTTTGATGCCTTTGAGAGTTAGCCTATATATATATACAGTATATATATAGGTCTTTGGTTATTCGGGTTTTCTCCCGCGTAAAATTGGAAGTGTCTTGGCAACGTTTCGACAAAGATACTTCCAATTTTATGTGGGAGAAAACCCGAATAACCAAAGACCTACATACAAACACCAGCAAAAACTTCAGAAAACAAATATAAATATATAAATAATCGGGAGCAAAAAAAAAGGTTGTTTTTTTTAGGGTGTAAAAATGGCGACTTGAGCAATGTAATAATGTTGATCTGTTTTATTTGTTAGGGACGCATCCTTCTAAAATTAAGTTGGAACTGCAAAAACATTTAACAGCACTGAATAACCAAGAGCAAGCCTCCATCTTTGAGGAAGTTCAGGTAATTTGCCGGTGTTGTTGTTGTTTTTCCTTCCCTGTGGAGGAAAAATACATTTTCTAAGTTGTGCCCTTAGTTTGTGCCTCTTAGCAGGAGCTGCATTAAATTTGTGGAAATTGCTTGCCCAGCATTAGACACCATTGGCTGATGATAGAATTCAGCAAGGTCAGCCGTGCTTTTCTTACTACGTCATCTGAGACTTGCCCGTACGTGTGTTTGTTTACTTCGAAATAGATTTATAGTTTTTGAAAGGGGAAAAAAATGGTCCAAAAAACATTTTGCTTTATATTGGATTGGGGGGCTGGACTAGAAGACCTCCAAGGTCCCTTCCAGCTCTATTCTATTCTATTCTATTCTATTCTATTCTATTCTATTCTATTCTATTCTATTCTATTCTTCATTCCTTCTATTCTATTCTATTCTATTCTATTCTATTCTATTCTATTCTATTCTATTCTATTCTATTCTATTCTTCATTTATTCTACTCTACTTCTATTCTATTCTTCATTTATTCTATTCTATTCTATTCTATTCTATTCTATTCTATTCTATTCTTCCCTACTTCTATTCTATTCTATTCTATTCTATTCTATTCTATTCTATTCTGTTCTGTTCTATTCTTCATTCCTTCTATTCTATTCTATTTTATTCTTCATTTACTTCTATTTACTTCATTTATTCTATTCCTATTCTATTCTATTCTATTCTATTCTATTCTATTCTATTCTATTCTATTCTATTCTTCATTTATTCTATCCTATTCTATTCTTCATCTATTCTATTCTATTCTATTCTGTTCTATTCTTCATTCCTTCTATTCTATTCTATTTTATTCTTCATTTACTTCTATTCTATTCATTTATTTTACTACTTCTATTCTATTCTATTCTTCATCTATTCTATTATATTCTTCATTTATTCTACTCTACTTCTATTCTATTCTATTCTTCATTTATTCTACCCTACTTCTATTTTATTCTTCATTTATTCTATTCCTATTCTATTCTATTCTATTCTATTCTATTCTATTCTTCATTTATTCTATTCTATTCTATTCTATTCTTCATCTATTCTATTCTATTCTATTCTATTCTATTCTATTCTATTCTATTCTTCATCTATTCTATTCTATTCTATTCTATTCTTCATCTATTCTATTCTATTCTATTCTAATTTTTTGTAGAATTGATGGCCCAGAGATGAGGTTGAAAAAAAACTAGAAATAAGGTTATAGGAAGGTTATAAGTTTTTTCAAATCAGCCAAATAAACATGGCCTTTAAAAGCCAGGATTATTCCCTTCTCTGAATGACAGGATAGAAAGCTAATTAAAATAAATTGTTTCATAACTCCAGCTATGTATTGTGAAATTGACACAGCCAAGTCAATTATGTTATAGGTGGTTCTCAACTTATGGTCACAACTGAGCCCAAATTCTCTGTTCCTAAGTGAACCATTTGTTAAGTGAGGCTTGCCCCATTTTATGACCTGTAAGCCACAGTTGTTAAGTGAGTCACACATAATTGTTACGTTAGTGACACAATTATTAAGTGAATTTGGCTCCCCCCACCATGGACTTTGCTTGACCCCCGGGACACTGCGACCGTCGTAAATACGAGTCAGTTGCCAAGCGTCTGAATTTTGATCACGTGACCGTGGGGAACGCTGCCACGGTCGTCAGTGTGAAAAAATGGTCCTAAGCCAGTTTTTTCAGTGCCGTCGTAACTGTGAACGGTCACTAAATTGAAGACTGCCTGTATTTGCAGCTATTTTGTGATGCAAAAATCCTCTTTCGTGCAGAAAATAAGGCCAAGAAATGAACAGAAGGAGAATGAACTAATCGTGTCTATCCTGAGAAGCATGTATGAAGAAAAACAGAAGGATCACGTTCACCTGGGGGACGTTAAACAGGTCTGCCGTTTTCTTTTTCCGACATTTCTTTCGAAAGACAAAATGGGGGAAATGTTTTCTAACAGCGATCGCGTAGGACTCCATTTTTTATTTTTTTATTTTTAAAAATGGGGGAGGGCTACAACTTTTGAGGAAATAGAAATTTGAAAATTGCAGCGCCCCCATGATCTTGCAAATACAAAAAGTTGGATATAGAGCTGGGAGACGTTTATGAGGGTGGCTCAAATCAGGTGAGAATCACCCAGATTTTTAAACCAGCTTTGAGAAATGCAGGGTTAAGAGGAAGCAAATACAATACACTGTGTCTCTGAGTCATAGAAAAAAATAAATTAAACCCAAAATGGCGACTTCCTTTTGTTTACTCATCTCACCAGCAAAACTGAAGTGGTGTTTGCTCATATTTGAAATTTTGTTTGTTTTTAATAAAGATCTATGTTTGCCTGCTATCAAACTGCTTTTTTTTTTTAAGCTATCATTTTGGGTTAAAAATTTTTTACTGAAAACTAAATAGCACCTTACATTTTGAATTAGATGTGTAATGCCAGTTCAGAATTAAAATGGTTTGGCATTTGATCTCCGATTGGCTAAGTTTTCTTAAGATGCCCCCCCCCCTTTTTTTTTTAAGAAAATTTTATTGATTTTCTAGTTACACATTTAAATGTTTGAAAAGCAATGTGGCGGCTGAGTTGGTCAATAATTCAATAACATACAAATATCTTTAGTACAGATCACAAACTATTACATTAAATATTTCTTTTCCCCTTGGTTTTTACTGTCTCATATTTAAATTCATACAATTCTTATTATATCGATTAAATAAAAATAACTTTCTTACATTGATCAATCATTTTTAGTTTATACATATCCTAGTTATTTTAACATTCAATCTTTTTAGACAATCAATGTCCTGGTTAATTTTCCCCAGTGTTTAGTTTCCCATTAAGATATTAAATTTAACGTTTAATATTTATAATTTCTCCCCAAATTATTTCTATTCTTTATTTTGTATGCTGCTGCTGATTGTATAACTAGGCTAAACGGTTGCCAAGCAAATGACCAAATAAGGACTAGTTAACGTATCTGGAGGATTTTGTGAAGTCTTTTTCATTTTTCATCAGCTCTTTTATTTCTTTTTTCCCCCTAACTACGGAAATATCCACTGGGAGAAAAGGGTGGGAAAATGTAATCAAAACACAAATAAATTTGGTTTTGGGGGGAAGGAGTCCCTGTTGATTTATCGTTATTTTCTTTTCAAATGCATTTGTGATCTTAACCCCCCCTAGGCCACGCAATCTTCTGTAGAAGCCCTGGGAAACGAAATGCCGAACAACACAACTCGCTTCAAGCTTGACGTGCTCAGGAGCAAAGCCAAAAGGTCCCTTACAGAATCCTTAGAAAATATTTTATCTCGGGTAAGTCTCTTTGGATCGCTTGCATTCAACGTGGCTATTTGGGTGGTTGAAATCAAGAGTAATGAAAAAAAATGCATTTTTGCTATCATCGAATAAACAACTGTGTACGTGTTTGAAACGGTGGAAATCACGAACGACGTATTACAAGTATCCCACTTTTTTTAAGGGGATGCCAGACAATTATTTGCTCTTTTTCAATATTTCAGGCTTACTCTTCAAGTGTCGGAGAGGAAAATAAATGCAAGTCCGAGGAAATCTTTGATTTACAACCATTTGTTTAGGGCAGGGGTAGGCAACCTTGGCTCTTTTATGACTGGTGGACTTCAACTCCCAGAATTCCTGAGCCAGCATGGCTCGGCTTGGAAACCTCTCCCTTTCTCCCCTCAGCGTGGCTGGCTCAGGAATTCTGGGAGTTGAAGTCCACCAGTCATAAAAGAGCCAAGGTTGCCTACCCCTGGTTTAGGGACTGGCAAAGTTACAAAGGCACTGAAAAAAATGACTTAGGACCGTTTTTCACACTTATGACCATTGCAGTATCCTGTGGTCACGTGATCAAAATTCAGCTGCTTGGCCACTGACTCATACTTACGACGGTTTGCAGTGTCCCGGGGTCACGTGATCCCCTTTTGCAACCTTCTGACAAGCAAAGTCAATGGGGAAGCCAGATTCGCTTAACAACCGTGTTACTATCTTAACAACCGCAGTGATTCCCTTAACAACGGTGGCAAGAAAGGTCGTAGAATGGGGCAAAACCCGTTTAACAACTGTCTTGCTTAGCAATGGAAATTTTGGGCTGAAATTTTGGTCATAAGTCAAGGACTACCTGTAATAATAAGCCTATTCTTAGCTCATCCCCAAAATTTAATTTAATAATAATCTCAGTGCCGCTAGAACAGGGGTAGGCAACCTTGGCTCTTTTATGACTGGTGGACTTCAACTCCCAGAATTCCTGAGCCAACATGGCTCAGCTTGGAAACCTTTCCCTTTCCCCTCAGCATGGCTGCCTCAGGAATTCTGGGAGTTGAAGTCCATGAGTCATAAAAGAGCCAAGTTTGCCTACCCCTGCGCTAGAATCTTTAAATTTAACAATTTATTCCTTACGAGGAATGTCTTTTATATGAATTTTCATGTTTCTTTATATACATGCTGTATATCTTTATATTTTAAATATATATATAATATGAGGGTTTTCTTGGCAGGGAAATAAAAGTAAGAGCCTACAGGAAACTTCCGGAAGTATTGATTTGGATAGCTCCATATCCAGCACGCTGAGTAACATCAGTAAAGTAAGTGAATCGTTCAGTGTAAAACCAACACAAGGAATGGAACGGCTTGCTTGCTTTACAATTTTCTGTCATAAAACGTTCCCTTGGTTTTAGCCTCCAATAGATTCCTAGGGTAATTATTACATTTTATTTTTTAAAGATTGAAATCGTTTGATCCTAAAGGGGCTACTAACTTAACAAATGTTTCTGCCGTGGTTCCGACAGATGAAACTCTTCAAAAGAACTTCGAGGCGTTGTTTACCTTAAAGAATCTTTATTTGAGTAGCATAGCATCGGCACGTACATAGCCAAAGCCAAAATCTGAATTCCCCTCCCCTGAGCACATAGTATCAAAGCACAATTCCCTCCTCTAATTAACAGTCATAAATCACATTCCCCAATTAGCTTGAAACATGGGCTTCCTCTCCAGCTGTCCAGCCAGCCAATTCTTATCATTTCGTTTTTCAACAACCTTGGTTCTCACGCTAGGTCCAGTGTTGTTATGTCTAGCTGGACTCTCGTTCACATTCCTCCCCCCCCCCCAGCATCATCTAACTCTAAAAGCAAAAAGAAGAAAATGGCTGCATCTCCATCTATTCTCAATGCAAAAACATCCGAAGTTAGCAGCGTTGACCATTTCACTTAGTAGAAAAGTTGGGGTCATTGGTCATAAACTGCCTGTATCCACTATAACAGAACTATTATAAAAGATCCCAGGAAGCACCGTGGAGGATGGGAACTTGATTCTTCCCTCTTTTACAATCTACGGAAACCTTTCTGCCTGGTTATCAGAATAACAGAGTTGGAAGGGACCTTGGAGGTCTTCTAGTCCAGCCCCTTGCTCAAGCAGGAGACCCTATGCCAGGGGTAGGCAACCATGGCTCTTTTATGACTCGTGGACTTCAACTCCCAGAATTCCTGAGCCAGCATGGCTCGGCTTGGAAACCTCTCCCTTTCCCCTCAGCGTGGCTGGCTCAGGAATTCTGGGAGTTGAAGTCCACCAGTCATAAAAGAGCCAAGGTTGCCTACCCCTGCTCTAAACTAATAAAGTCTACATTAATTAACGTTAATTATGCTTTCATATGTTCTTCTAGGTCAGGAGTAGGCAACCGTGGCTCTTTTATGACTCGTGGACTTCAACTCCCAGAATTCCTGAGCCAGCATGGCTAAGCTTGGAAACTTCTTCCTTTTCCCTCAGCATGGCTGGCTCAGGAATTCTAGGAGTTGAAGTCCACGAGTCATAAAAGAGCCAAGGTTGTTATTATTATTATTATTATTATTATTATTATTATTATTATTTAATAATAATAATAATAAAATTAAACATATGGCGGGAAGAGGGTATCCTGAGTCCCGCCAAGTGTCGTATAATTTTTGTTTATTATATGGGTTTTATGTTTTTTATGTGTTATGTTTTTATGTTTTTATGTTTTCTTATTTGGGACTATTTTCGGCTTAAAAAACCAAATATTACCAGCTGTGTTTCCGATTAAAATACCTACACCTGCTCTAAGGCATTTTAGACAAATGGCTGTCCAATCTTTTCTTAAAAACCTCCAGTGATGGAGGTGCCAAAGGTGCTTTTTTTTTCAAAAGGCAACTGGACTTTGTCTTTCCTTGATGACGTTTCGCTTCTCATCCGAGAAGCTTCTTGAGTTCTGAACAGAACTGAAGAAGCTTCTTGGATGGAGAAGCGGAACATCTTCAAGGAAAACAAAGGAAGTCCAGTTGCCTTTTGAAAAAAAAGCACCTTTGGGACAATCATGACCTGGATGACTGAGAATGTCTCCATAGACACTTCCGGTGATGGAGCACCCACAACTTCTGGAGGCAAGCTTTCCTTTCGTTAATTGTTCTGTCTCCATTCGATATTTGGTCATTCAAAGCCACCAGATATTCTAGCGTTGAAAAACACAACAGTTTTAAATGTCCTGTCAGAACATGGTGTTGATCCATCAATTTTTTATTAGTTTATCAGAATATCAAAATACAAAGGGAAATGAAAAGGAAAAAGGGAAGAGGAGAAAGTGTAGGGTAAAAAATGGATAATTGGTTGGTCAAAGTGGCGGAACTTCTTTAGTCTAAAGAAAAGGACACATCTAACTTGGTTTCCACTTGGAAACCACTTCTGGATTTTGTGTTTGAGATGGAAAAAAAATGGAACTAGGATTGGGGTTCTGCCAAATCGGTCATGCCCAGTTTTGTTCCACTCGACAGGATACGTCTGTCGGTGACCACGAAAATCATTTCCCCCTGGAGAGCCCTCTAAATCCAAATGGATCCATGGACAATCTTGACCTTCTCTCCACCATGTCGGAAGGACCATCTGAAGAACATCCTGCCCAATCGGCCTACCAGGGCTTCAGAAGGCGCGCTAACACCCTCACCCACGTTCCCTTGGAGATGCAGGAGCCGTCTGAATCTGCGGAAGCATCTCTGTCTGTTTCGCAAAGAAAACTTCTGAGGTACCATTCCATGACCACAGAAACTCCAGACCACCAAAAGTAAGATTATGTTTCTGGCCGGGGAAGGGAGAGGCAGGGGGAGAAAATGTTTGCAGGTATGTCCACCTTAGGCCAAGGAGAAGATTCTTCGGATCCATTCTTTGTTATTAACCATAGCATGGACTCCCGATCTGAAATGTTGAGATGATGTAACGGCGTCTTCTTTCTGTGAGAAGGTGCTTTATGAATGCAACTCCTAAGTCACCTTTATTAATCGTTGAGTTTGTTATCCTTATTAACCATTAATTGGGTTAGGGAGCAGGCATCCATCTTCTGTGATCAACTAACAGCACTAAATTGGTCCTAGGTAAGAGTTAATGGAAACCAAGAGAGTGTTGGACTTACACCCTTTATGAGTATGTAAGGACTCTAAGATGATTCCTCTCTTGACTCCACCACCGATCTCTGTCTCCTCTTCTCCTACCCATTAGCATCTGTTATTTGGTCCCACAGTGTAAAAGAAAAAGGGTGTTGAGACCCTAGAAACAAAGCAGAGAAGAGCAACCAAGATGGATTACTCCTTGCCCTTTTTTAATAAACTAGCAAACTGTGAAATTGCGTTCAACAGGATGGTGTGTGTTTGTGTACACTGACATCCGTTTCACGGTCCTCTGCCTACTTTTTATGATACCGTCGCATGTAGAATGCAAAACTAACGCAACTGCATCCTTTCTTCACTAATTATTATTAATTTTTTTCTTGTTCTTTTCCATACTGGTGTAACCTTCCTCCGAAACGCTGGTCATCCTCAATGTACAACTATAATTCAGCCCAAAATTTCTAAGCGAGACACTGGTTAAGTGAGTTTTGCCCCATGTTACGACCTTTCTTGCCACCGTTGTTAAGTGAATCACTGCAGTTGTTAAATTAGTGACACAGTTGTTAAATGAATCTGGCTTCCTCAATTGACTTTGCTTGTTGGAAGGTCGCAAAAGGGGATCACGTGACCCCCAGGACACCACGACCATCATAAATATGAACCAGTTGCCAAGCATCTGAATTTTGATCACGTGACCACGGGAATGCTGCAACGGTCGTAATTGTGAAAAACGGTCCTGAGTTAGTTTTCTCAGTGCCGTTGTAACTTCGAACGGTCACCAAACAAATTGTTGTGGGTTGAGGGCTCCCAGTGGCTTTTCTGGAAACACCGCAAAATTGGACGGAAGCCGATGCCAAATTTTATTCCTCACCCTAAAAGAGACGTGTCCAGGATGAATTGTTAGCCGTGGAAAGGAAATGAAAAGAGGGAAGCGAGGATTCTGAAATACGACGTTTAATTGTCCCCTTTTTGTCTCGTCTCTCGCTTTTCTTCTTTTTTAAATTTAATTTTATTTTATTCAAATACAAATAATACAAACATAACACATATAAATCTAAATAAAAAACAGTATAAAAAATACAAATACTACAGTGCACCCACACCCCTGGGGACCATTTTTATTACCTACATTTCTTCTCGTATAACAACTACCAATATACAATATATTGCAATTGTGCCTTTATCCCCTCCAAAACAGCATGTATTCTTAAGCAGGTTCATTCCCCTTGCCTTCCACCAAGACTGTTTTTATAAAAGTTCCTTCGAGAATACCAGATTTTATTACAGGGGTATTTCCAACCAGACAGAGCTTGCTCAGTTAAAAGGAGAGCTGTTAGTTAGCCTTTGAGGTCAGCTTCTTAGATGTCAGCTTAAATCTTATTTAGGGCATGAACTTGCCTTGCTTTGGTTTTATGGAGAATGTTGTGTTTTGTTTTGCTTTGCTTTGTTTAAAATCCTTGAAATCCTCCCGTTTCACGTGCTGAAGAGTTTGCTTCAAACACCGTACTCGAAGGGTGAGAGAAAATACCTAGAGTTTTATTGTGACCCACAACCTCCATTTGAACTTCATCTACGTTCTGTTAATAGATTAAAAGCTCCGATTAAACAAACATGGCGCAACGCAATATACGGCGTCACGGCTTTGGGGACCACCGTCCCTATTTTTGTCAGGAAAAGGACGTGAGAATTAGCCCGTTGAAGGGAATAAGTTGAATCAGATGTTCCAGTCCACGAGATGACTTTCAGGTGTGGGTTTGAGGGTCCTTCTCTTCTTAAAAAAGACCCGCAAACATTTTTGTTATCCTCGGTAGCGAACATCTCTGAATACAAACCAAGAAAGAGAGTTCGTCAACCGACATTCCCTTCGGTCCAGGGTTAACATTTGGATTGTAGTGGTTTTTCAGTGTTACTAAAGTTTGTGCATGTAAGTGAAGTGGATTAGAAGTTGGTGGTGGAGATGGTTGTATGGTTTGTCACCATTGCATAGGAGCTCCTGATGGCTTTTGTGTCATCCTCTTAACACAACGAATGTCCTCGTGGTACTGAGAACGAGAACGCGGCACGGAGATTCTCGGTCATCCCGATCGATCATGGTTGTCTCCGAGGTGCTTTGTTCAGGACGCAACTGGACTCTCTTGTTTTTCTTTGAAGATGCTTCTCTAATCATCTGAGAAGCTTCTTCGGCTCCCCACTCTCCAGTTTCTTCACTCTGGTGTCTCCCCAAGCTTTCCAAAGCTGAGGCCTCTCAAGGGCTGGGAAACGGGCAGTTTTACCCTCATTAAAAAGTGACTTCTGCCAAGCATTAACGCTGTAAGCAGCAATACGTGCTCCATGCATTCCTGTATTCTCTCTACCTATCTTTATTCTGACCCTATCAGTATACGGTACACGATCAGCAGATCCGTGAGAGGCTCATAGAAGAAGCACATTTCAGTCAAAGGGCTTTGAGATGCTTCTTGATGCCACTTCCTGTGCGTAGAGGTCCTACTCCTAATTAAAGTGCTTCAGTTATATCTTTATTTTTGTTTTCAGCCTTTATATATGCACATACTTTATTTGACTTTTTTTTCCTTCCTTCCTTCCTTCCTTCCTTCCCTCTCCTTCTATCCATCTATCCATCCATCTCATCTTTCCTCTCTTCTCCTCACCCCTTTCCCTCTTCCCCCCTCTCTCCCTCTCTTCCTTCCTTCCCATCCTCTCTCCTTCCTTCCTTCCATCCATCCATCCATCATCTCATCTTTCCTCTCCTCTCCTCTCTCCTTGCCTTCCTTCCCCCTTCCCTTCCCTTCCTTCCTTTTCACCCTCTCTCTCCTTCCTTCCATCCATCCATCCTCCATCTCATCTCTCCTTTCCTCTCCCCTCCTCTCCTCTCTTCTTGCCTTCCTTCCCCTTCCCCCTCCTTCCTTCCTTTTCACCCTCTCTCTCCTTCTTCCATCCATCCATCCTCCATCTCATCTTTCCTCTCCTCTCCCCTTGCCTTCCTTCCCCTTTCCCCATCCTTCCTTCCTTTTCACCCTCTCTCCTTCCTTCCATCCATCCATCCTCCATCTCATCTCTCCTCTCCTCTTGCCTTCCTTCCCGCTCCTTCCTTCCTTTTCACCCTCTCCTTCCATCCATCCATCCTTTATCTCATCTTTCCTCTCCTCTCCTCTCTTCTCCTCTCCTCATCCCCTTCCACCTTCCGTCCTCTCTCCCTCCTTCTCTCCCTCCCTTCATCCTCCTGGAATCCCCTTATAAAAACTGACCATGGCTGGCTAACCCTTCTCCCAGTCAGCCATCCGCCACTTCTGCCCTGCCTCCTCCAGCGCGGCTTCATTCCTCAGCCTCCTCACCCAATTTCTTCAAGCGCACTAGGCATAGCTCAAGCGGAGAACCAGGCAGACATGCCATGCCAAAGAGGTGAGGAGAGATGTGTGGTGTGTGCCTGTGAGTGTGGGTGTAGCTGGCAGTGTACCAGCTCATCAAGGTTTTCACTGAAGTCATTTGTACATTGCAAAGAAAAGCCATAAATTAAACCAAAATAAGCCGGGTGACTTATTTCAGGCCCACAGAAAAATAGCCCTGTCTTGCTACTGTAATGTAGCTCTTCGTTAATTAATTAACCACATGAAATCTAGGAAGAAATAAAATAAAACTCGGTATAACTTATTCAAAGTCTCAGGTTAAAAGAAGGATAAGCTCAGCCCGTTCCAATATTATCATTGATTGTGTGTGTATGAAACCACAATCTCAATTGGTCCTTATTGGTTTACATCAGGGGTCTTCAAACTTGGCCCTTTTATGACTTGTGGACTTCAACTCCCAGAATTCCTCAGTCGGCCATTTTGATGAAACCGCGGGCTTAGATCCAGACCAGGGGTCTTCAAACTTGGCCTTTATGATCTGTGGACTTCAACCCCCAGAATTCCACAGCCAGCATGCCTGGCTGAGGAATTCTGGGAGTTGAAGTCCACAAGTCATAAAAGGGCCACGTTTGAAGACCCCTGTCTTAAATCTAACAAACAAAATGGAGGCTGGCTGAGGAATTCTGGGAGTTGAAGTCCACAAGTCATAAAAGGGCCAAGTTTGAAGACCCCTGGTTTACATAATAGGTGTCATTAATTTTACCACACCCTCCATTCAAAATTGAAACAAAAAATTAGGACATCTTCAATGGATGCAGGAGAGATTCTAGCACAGATACTCCTCCTTTACACCTGGACTCATCTTATGAGATTCCTCTACCCTGCCTCCTCATAGCCTTCCTTTCAGTGTTGATAACACACGGTTCAAAGAAAATGACACAAATGTGATTTCATGGCCTTTCCTGAAAATGGAATGAGCCTCTAAGCCAGGGGTAGGCGACCTTGGCTCTTTCATGACTCGTGGACTTCAACTCCCAGAATTCCTGAGCCAGCCATGCTGAGGGGAAAGGGAGAGGTTTCCAAGCTGAGCCAGGCTGGCTCAGGAATTCTGGGAGTTGAAGTCCACGAGTCATAAAAGAGCCAAGGTTGCCTACCCCTGCTCTAAGCAGTTATCTTAAAAAAATAAAATAAAATTACACAGGTGACAGTGTTAGCCTTTGCTTTGTTTTCATTCCTGCCAGTCTTACATTTTTTCCTAATTTGTTGCTTATCCCTTTTGTCGTTTCTTTCGTTCTCTCTCTTCCTGCCTGTTTTCCCTGCCGCGCTAAACTTCTCCCATTCTGAGCTTCTTGCCAACTACGTTCAGCACCTCCTACCGTTCCTCTCTCCAGCAAAAGCTTCACTCCTGCTCTTCTGTACCCAATTTCTTAAAATTCCTGGCTCCTGTCGATGAGAATGTCACTTCCGACTTTAGGAAGTCCACCAGGTAGGGAATCCTTGGTTCAGAAAGGTACCTTCGGATCTGGGGGTACAATTTAGAGGTAGAAGCTCTTGCGGTTTCAAGCGAGAAAGAAGAGTCTTCCGATTGAGATCAGCTCCACATTGCCTTCCAAAACTGGCTGGCTATGGGTTTCTTCTAAGATTTGGGCTACAGCTATGGGATGGTGGGGAGGTCTGCTGTTCAAGTGCAAACCATAATTGACCACATTTAGTTTTTTCTTTATATATATATATATATATATACATACATACTAGCTGTACCTGGCCACGCATTGCTGTGGCTCAGTCTGGTAAAAGCGTGTGTTGCTTTTACGTTCAACAGATGGCGCTGTTTTTCAAAAAAAGCATGTTTTTACCTGTCACAGGTGTGACATCTATATAATAGTAGGTATATAAAAACACGCGCGTATTCGAATGCAACGTTGTGTCAAAATTTCAAAGCAATCGGTGAAGAACTTTTGGAGATTTAAGATTTTGAACAAACGAACATTTACATTTTTATTTATATACTAGCTGTACCCAGCCACGCGTTGCTGTGGCTCAGTCTGGTTAAATGGAAAAGAAAGAAAAGAGAAAGTGCACATTTCTAATATGTTTAGACATCTATAATAAGTGACATCTATATAATAGTAGGTATATAAAAACACGCGCGTATTCCAATGCAACGTTGTGTCAAAATTTCAAAGCAATCGGTGAAGAACCTTCGGAGATTTAAGATTTTGAACAAACGAACATTTACATTTTTATTTATATATAGATAGATAGATTGTTAGTTTTCATAGGGTTAGGGATAAGGTGGGATCAGGATTAGGGTTAGGGTTGAGGTTGGGGGTTTTCCAAATAATATTTTCAATATTTAGCAAAGGGCCTAATGTCTGGGTACATGTATTTAACTAACAGTAATAGATATAGTTAATTATCACAAACAATATGTTAGTTAATGCTAATATATATTTAAAATTACATATCACGTTCCTTTCTCTCTGACTCGTTTTTCTAGCCATTGATGGAAATTATCCCATGTTCTAAAATACACTGAGTCTTCTTTCTCTTTAATCTTATAAGTCAATCTATCCATTTTTGCACACGCTAAAATTTCCTTAATTCATTCTTCTTCAGTTGGTAAGTTTTCATTGTTTCCAATGTTGGGCAAATACAATTCTTGCTGCCGTTAATATGTGTAGTATTAGATATCTGCAATCTTTCTCAGAATTAGCTCCTGTTATTCCTAACAAAAATAATTCTGGTGTAAAGTCTATTTGTTTTTTTAGTCATTTTCTCCAACCATAAATGTATTTTAACCTGAAAACTTTTTGCTTTGGGGCATGTCCACGCACATTTAGCTTTTTCAAAGTTCTGGTTGTCCTATGTGAAGCTCTGTACCGCGTGGCTGTGGTATATATCATGAGTATCTGATTCTGATTTGTAATAGTGGCGAATATCTTGGGTATAGGATGAATCTTTGTCCTCCAAGCTTGTGGATGTTTCGTTACCAGATGAAATGACGTCTTCAGCGGAGTTTAGAGCATGGCAGTGTCGGTATGAGTGTGCCGAGTGAGTGGGTCAGTGTGAGTCATCAGTGAGTGGCTTGTGATGAGTCTTGTGGTGGAGAGGTTACAGGAGGTCAGGATCCTTTGGAGGTGAACTGCTGGTGGGGCCCTCACCACAAGCCTCTCACTGATGACTCAAACCTGACCCATCGCAAGATCCTCACTTGACACACACACACATACCTGAAGCCCTTATAAACAGAAGAACGGACACTGATGTCCCATAAGATGTTACCTAGCCTGGTAATAAACCGTTTGGAAATCAACTCACAAGCTCGGAGAACAAATCTTCACCCTCATATGATTCTTCTTATCTAGTCATGAAGAAGGCTTGGGGAGTTATCCAACCCCTCACTTGGGAGGTCCATGGGGAAGAGACCAAACACCAAGCCTTCTTGATAATGGCCTCCACACTTTGGAATACTCTGCTGCAGGAACCATGTCTGGTTTCGACTCTCTTCTTGCTTAAAAAAGCCACAGAGACTGCAAGAAAAGGAGTGGCAGAGCCTAGGGGGTGGAGTCAAAAGAGGAACCAGCCTAGTAGTCTCTAGTAGTCATAAATGGACCAAGCCCAACCGCTCTTGAATTCATTAACTCTTAATAGACTAGACCAGGGGTAGGCAACCTTGGCTCTTTTATGACACGTGGACTTCAACTCTCAGAATTCCAGAGCCAGTTGAAGTCCACGAATCATAAAAGAGCCAAGGTTGCCTACCCCTGGACTAGACTAATGTCACGACTAACAGTCAGCATTATTTTGGCTCTAGATAAGAATTAATGGAATTTAAGAGGGAGCATTTATGGGAACGTACAGACTCCAGGCTGATTCCTTGTTTGACTCCGCCCGCCAGGCTATGCCACTTCTTCTTCTCCTACAGATATTATTTTATTCTAACAGGACTTTGACCCAGCAGAGTGATTGGTCAACCATGTTTTCTTTCTGCCTGTTTTGCAGATTAAATTATAGAGAATAAACAAAATAAATGTATGTCTACCATATCTTTATTATACATTATTGATATTCATTGTTTATCCATTGAAACAAGAGGAGGTATTTCAGTTTTAATTTGCTGTTGAGCCTCTTTTGATTTCATCCGAAAACAACATGCCTTGCGATTGTAGCTACAATCAATCAATCAATAAATTCTGCGACTTCTAATTTTAGAGATAACAAATCCAAGCCGAATGAAGCAGATTTGGTCCCCGAGACCCCGGTGAAGGCTCGAAGACATTCTTGGAGGCAGCAGATCTTTTTAAGAGTGGCGACACCACAAAAAGGATGTGATTCTTCCGGTTGGCACGAAGGTAAGATCCATTGGTAGTTAAAAGGGGTGGTTTAATGAATGCCACAAATGAAGGCTGAGCGACTTCTGGCAGCGTTTCTTTTAGTGCAATCCACTAGCCCAGAGGTAGGCAACCTTGGCTCTTTTATGACTCGTGGACTTCAACTCCCAGAATTCCTGAGCCAGCCACCCTGAGGGGAAAGGGAGAGGTTTCCAGGCTGAGCCATGCTGGCTCAGGAATTCTGGGAGTTGAAGTCCACGAGTCATAAAAGAGCCGAGGTTGCCTACCCCTGAGTCCTAGTGGAATTACCCACATCAAAATGCAGAAAATATTGTGTCTTGCAGACACTCCTCGAATTACAACCGTTCCGTGACCATTTGAAGTCACAACAGCCCTGGAAAAAAAGGGACTTATGACCCTTTGTAAACGTTGCATAATCCATTTATTGTTGATTTATCTCCGATGGACCTGAGATTGTAGCCTCTTCATTGGAAGCTCGAAAACTCTGTACACTTTGAGTGACACCTGTCTGTTCACAGCCAGGAGATGTCGCCTCACCCCTGTCTTCTGCTTCTGATCTTTCCCTATTCCAGCTAGGTCCAGCCCAAGGTGTTCTTATTGTTTTGAGGTTGTCACAAGACAATTTTAGGCTTCTGGTAGAAAGAATCCCTCTCTTTCAACCAAACCTAAGGCAGCGTTGTTGCAAGGGATTGTAAGGAAGACAACAGCATCCGGTGTTGTGTTACCTTCAGAGGAGAAAAGCAACAAGAATTAAAAAAAATTGTGTAGGAACTCATCCGTAGCCAAGGCAGGAAGTCACACTGCTGTTTCACATTGCTGCTTTCTATTGCCTTTTTTAAAAAAAACTTCTGGCAACTGTAGAACTGTGGGAATGTTGTTGCTTTAGCTGGAATCTGTGTATACAATTTTGGAGGTCAATGAATCCAATTTTACTTTTCTTTCCCCTGGTAGAATACTCTGAATTAAGTTTTTGCTGGTGGAGGGGGGCACGGTTTTGTGGTTTTGGTTTTCAAAATAAAAGTAACTGCCTGAATACATGCACAGCTGGGCGGGAACGTCGATTTTGAGAAGGGGAAAAAAAAGAAATATATATTCATGGCTCAGGAGTTTTACAGTACATATAATTTGGAGAGGAGGGGAACGTGTCGATTTTTCAATATCCTGCGAGTCCCCTGGACTGCAAGGTGATCCAACCGGTCAGTCCTAGAGGAGATCTATCTATCTATCTGCTCCCATTATGCTACTATCTCCATCCACCAATTGAGTTGATTAATGTCTGGCTTAGCTTCGGTGCATCTTTTAACTGCCCTTAACTGCCCATATGGCTGTGAAAGTTGGACCATAAGAAAGGCTGAGTGCCAAAGAATTGAGGCCTTTGAACTATGGTGCTGGAGAAGACTCCTGTGAGTCCCCTGGACTGCAAGGCGATCAAACCGGTCAGTCCTAGAGGAGATCAACCCCGACTGCTCTTTAGAAGGCCAGATCCTGAAGTTGAAACTCAAGTACTTTGGCCATCTAATGAGAAGGAAGGACTCACTGGAGAAGATCTTAATGCTGGGAAAGATGGAGGGCAATAGAAGAAGGGGACGACAGAGAATGAGATGGCTGGATGGAGTCACTGAAGCAGTAGGCGTGAGCTTAAATGGACTCCAGAAGATGGTAGAGGACAGGAAGACCTGGAGGAACGTTGTCCATGAGGTCACGATGGGTTGGACACGACTTCGCAACTAACAACAACAATTCTCTGCCTGAAATCCAAACAGAAGTGGGAAAGAAATGAGTCCGTTTCATTGCTTTAAAGTGGAGATAATGACTTTAAATTCAGGATCGCGTTGAAATTGCAAATGTGGTACAAAAAAAGGAGAGGCAGAATAAAATAAGAGAAGGAGTAACAATTTAGGAAAATGGGTTGGAAGGGACTTATTTGCCTCAAAAGAGAGTCACATACAGGTCAATCCTCGGCTTTGTTTAGTGATGGTTCAAAAGTTACAACGGGACTGAAAAAAAGTGACTTATGACTGTTTTTCATGACAGTTGCGGCATCCCCCGTGGTCACGTGATCAAAATTCAGACACTTGGCAACTGGTTCATATTTACAACGGTTTCAGGGTCCCGTGTGATCTCCTTTGGCGACTTTCTGACAAGCCAAGTGAATAAATCGTGTCACTAACTCAGTCGCTGCCGTGATTCACTTAGGAACTGGGGCAAGACAAGTCGTAAAATGAGGCAAAATTCACTTTAAAAAATTATTCATATAGCAACAGAAATTTTGGGCTCAGCTGCGGTCCTAGGCCGAGGAGAAAATCAATAGTCTAAGTAGATTGTGAAACATGATGCCTTCAGTTGGGTGATTTTACTCCTTGTGTTTAATCACACTTGGCCAAATAAAGCTCTTCTGCAGTCACGACATAAGACTGAAAATCAGGCTTGTCAGATGCTATATTTTTTCCTATCCTGCTCCATGGAGTAGAGAGCTGGTCTCTGACAGAAGGCCACCTGAAGAGACTAGAAGCATTTGAAATGTGGATTTACAGGCGGCTGCTACGTATAAGCTGGGCTGACAAGATCAGAAATGAGGAGGTGATAAGCCGCCTGGGAAAGCCAAGGGAAATCATCAAAACAATTAAAAAACGAAAATTAGAATATTTCGGACACGTGATGCGACACCCAGAAAAATATGGCATACTCCATTTAATCCTCCAGGGAAAGATTGAAGGCCAACGAGGTCCAGGCAGAAGAAGAACATCGTGGCTTCAAAATCTAAGGGACTGGTTTGGACAAAACTCAGCAGCACTTTTTTGTGCGGCTGCTGATAAAAACAGGATCGCCAACATGATTGCCAGCGTCCGATAACAGATATGACAGAAGAAGAAGAAAGAAGAAGGAGAAGGAGAAGGAGAAGGAGAAGGAGAAGAAGAAGAAGAAGAAGAAGAAGAAGAAGAAGAAGAACAACAACAACAACAACAACAACAACAACAACAACAACAACAACAACAACAACATAAAGCATTCAGATTCAAATGTGTCATGTTCCTGTTTTATCTTATACCGAGGTAGACAACCTTGGCTCTTTTTATGACTCGTGGACTTCAACTCCCAGAATTCCTGAGCCAGCCGTGCTGAGGGGAAAGGGAGAGGTTTCCATGCTGAGCCATGCTGGCTCAGGAATTCTGGGAGTTGAAGTCCACGAGTCATCAAAGAGCCAAGGTTGCCTACCCCTGTCTTATACACTAGATGGCACTCTCCATTTTGGTAATTCCAGAAAAAAATTATCGGATTATTCAGATTAACTTTCCTGAAATTGAATCAAATTGGTGGATACCAAAATACCTTGTTCTAGCAAATAGTGGAATTCTTTTTTTTTTTAGTTTGTTTATTGTAATCTTATCTCTTTTTTTTAATTTAGAGGTTTACAGGAAGAAGGTAGGAAGGAAAACACAAATGGCTGTCAGAGGTCTAACATTGCCATATTCTTCGTGGAGAACAATTTGTGCAGTCTTTTTGCATCTAGTTGCTGAGCTGAATATATTTTTCAGGGACTATTTGAAAATCCAGCCCAAATGATTTGTTTGCGCATGAGCGGACTTTGTAGAAAATTCTTCGCTAAACACGGAGTCCTTTGGGGTAGCTATAAAGTTCATTAAGTCAGGAAAAAAAGCTGTAAAATCTTGCATAAAATGACTAAACGGTTTGCTTTTTCAAAAGGCAGCCAGACTTTGTTTTTCCATGAAGCAGTTTCGCTTCTCGTCTAAGAAGCTTCTTCAGTTCTTCACGTCGGAACGTGAGAAGCTTCTTGGATGAGAAGGAAAACATCTTCAAGGATAAACAAAAGCCCAGTTGCCTTTTTAAAAAAGCGCCTTTGGGATAACCACGACCTGGATGACTGAGAATCTCCGTAGACACAAATGTAATTGGGTCTACACTGTTAGTAGACAAAGGACCATGTAAGATTTTCAGTTTCCCTTCCTCTTTTGATAATTATTTTCCCGAGGCTAGGATTGATCTAGGAATTCAGACAAATCTTCAAATTAAAAAAAAATGTTTTTGATTCTATCTCTCTCTCTCTTTCGCTCCTCTCTCTCCTATGTCTCTCTCTCCTCTCTCTCTCCTTTCTCCTCTCTGTCTCCTCTCTCTCTCCTCTCCTCTCTCTCTCCTTCTCTCTCTCCTCTCTCTCTCTGCTTCTCTCTCTCTCTCCTTCTCTCTCTCTTCTCTCTCTCTGCTTCTCTCTCTCTCCTCTCTCTCTTCTCTCTCTCCTCTCTCCTTCTCTCTCCTCTCTCCTCTCTCTCTCCTTCTCTCTCTTTCTCCTTCTCTCTCCTCTCTCTCCTTCTCTCTCTCTTTCTCTCTCTCTCTCCTCTCTCTTCTTCTTTCTCCTCTCTCCTTCTCTCTCTCTCCTTTCTCTCTCTCTCTCCTATCTCTCTCCTTCTCTCTCCTCTCCTTCTCTCTTTCTCTCCTTCTCTCCTTCTCTCCTCTCTCCTCTCGTCTCTCTCTCCTTCTCTCTCGTCTCTCTTTCCTTCTCTCCTCTCTCTCCTCTCTCTCTCCTTCTCTCTCTCCATCTATCTCTCTCTCCTTCTTTCTTCTCTCTCTCTCTCTCCTTCTCTCTCCTCTCCTTCTCTCTTTCTCTCCTTCTCTCTCTCCTCTCTCTCTCCTTCTCTCTCTCCCCCCCTCTCTCTTTTGGTGTAATAAGATTATTCTGAACTGGGAGAATTGCCACCTCGATCACCGTTGCTGCCAGTTTGTGAAGACGGTCCCTTCGGAGCCACAAAAGAAGATAGGAAAAGGACACCCAAGGAGTTGCGGGAACTTTGGCAAAAAGCCATTCTCCAACAGATACTCCTCCTTAGGATGGAAAAGGAAAACCGGAAACTGCAAGGTAAACACCAAATATCTCCGGGAAATTCTATATTTGGGGGGTTTGTCCCAAAGACGCTAAATTAGCCGCTTAAAGATAGTGTGTGGTGTACTGCCTGCCGTGCTTGTTATCCTACTTCCTGTACTTTACCCACCCTGAGTTTATTTTATCTCGATGGACACTTTGTTTATTTTACAAATGGCAGCTTTTAAGTCCTGTTCCTGGAAGTGCTGATAAGGAGCCCAGACGCTTGTCTCCTTTGAACCCTGCATCCAGTAGAGCTGGATTCACTTCTTTAACTTCAAAGATATTGTCATCTTCACGTCTCTTTACCGTCTCGTTTATTTTTTGAAACCCTTCTCTCTTCAAGCAATGGTCCTTGAATCTGTCTCTGAGCAAATTTGCCTCCAGATAGATTCCCTGGGAGAAGCCACAATAAAGTGAGCTTTGTTCTAGTCCAGTTCAGCTTCTAACAACCACAGGATACTTCCATGTAATTGTACACAGGACTGGGTTCGTCCCCCCCGTGTAGTCTACATCCTTGGGATGTCCTGGTGTCACCTATCCAAGTACTAAGTAGGATTCTGTCTTGCTTTGTGTGTGTTCCTTGATGCTTTATGAGGTTGGCTGCTTTCTGGCAGACATTTTATTCCTCAACTAGGTAACATAATGGGATGTTTGATTGCCCAACTAGGTAGCATGTCGTCAGTGCACTGAGGGTACCTAGTTGGATGATGAAATGTCTGCAAGAAAACAACCAAGCTCAGAGAGCACCAAGGACCCTTCATTTCAACCCTGAGCTACAAAGATTCTCTTATAATTTGATAGATAGATATAGATAGATGGATGGATGGATAGATAGATAGATAGATAGATAGATAGATAGATAGATAGATAGATAGATAGATAGATAGATAGATATGATTAGATAGAACAGATAGAGAGATATAGATATATATTAGAAGATAGATAGATATAGATAGATATATGTTAGAAGATAAATAGATAGACAGTTATGATTAGATTGAATAGATAGATGGATAAATAAGATAATGATAGATAGATAGATAGATAGATATAGAAGAGATATAAGATAGATAGATAGATAGATAGATAGATAGATAGATAGATAGATAGATAGATAGATAGATAGATAGAGATAGATATGATTAGATAGAACAGATAGATAGACAGAGAGATATAGATATATATTAGAAGATAGATATAGATAGATATATGTTAGAAGATAAATAGATAGACAGCGATGATTAGATTGAATAGATAGATGGATAGATAAGATAATGATTGATAGATAGATAGATAGATAGATAGATAGATAGATAGATAGATAAAGAGAGAGAGAGAGATCATTAGATAGATAGACAGATAGATATGGATAGATAGATGTTAGAAGATAGACAGACAGACAGTGATGATTAGTTTGAATAGATAGATAGATAAGTAGCTACTGCTATCTTGCAGAAAATTCATTATTGGCCTTTCGCAAATGTGCCTGGCTTTAATCCGTTCATTTTTTTTTCCTCCTCTAGCTTCTGAAAACGATCTACTCAATAAGCGTCTGAAGCTTGATTACGAAGAAATCACCCCGTGCCTCAAAGAAGTAATGTCGGTTTGGGATAAAATGCTGAACACACCAGGAAGATCGAAGATGAAGTTTGACATGGACAAAATACACGCTGCTGTTGAGAAAGGTGAGTGAATCTAATTCTTGAGGGATGGAGATATGTTGGCACTTCGGAAAGTGAATTAGTATCTCAGAGAGTGCCAAGGACCCCACGGTCCTCCTCCCACTCCTCCTTCTCCTCCTTCTCCTCCTCCTCCTCCTCCTCTCTGCAAACCCCCCTCCCTTCTAGCACTAATGATGTTCCTTAGTTGGGTAATGACACGTCTGCAAGAAAACCACCAAGCTCAGAGAGCACCAAGGACACCACAGTCGTCCTCCTCCTCCTCCTCCTCTCTGCAGACCCCCTTCCCTTCTAGCACTGATGATGTTACCTAGTTGGGTCATGAAACATCTGTGAGAAAGCCATCCAGCTCAGAGAGCACAAGAGCCATATTCCTCTCCTTTTGCTCCTTGCCGATGGCATTAACTCACCTCCAGGATAAATGAGCTTATCCTAGAAGCATTTCAAGGTCCTTCCAGAAGGACATCCCCATAGCACGGAATGGTTTCTTCTTAAAGCAGGAAGCTTGTAAATACCGAGTACCGTAGTGTGTGTGTTGGCACCTAGTCTCATTCCCTGCTGTTCTTTCTTTCGCTCTTCAAATCTTTTTTCGAAAAGGAGTTCCTCGGCAGCAACGGGGGGAGATATGGAAATTTTTAGCAGAGCTGCACCAACTCAAGCACCCATTTCCAAATAAGCAACAGCCAAAGGACACCCCTTACAAGGAGCTCCTGAAACAGCTGACTTCCCAGCAGCATGCAATTCTGATTGATTTGGGTAAGTCTGCCCGCCAGCAACTCTGATATTAAAACTTGGAAGGTTATGCATTTGCAAAGAGGTTTTACGTATGACTAGACTGTGGGATATAATAATAATAATAATAATAATAATAATAATAATAATAATGATGATGATGATGATGATGATGATGATGATGATGATGATGATGATGATGATGATGAAGTTGGAAGGGACCTTGGAGGTCATCTAGTCCAACCCCCTGCTCAGGCATGAAACCCTATACCATTTCAGACAAATGGCTGTCCAGTCTCTTCTTAAAAACCTCCAGTGTTGGAGCATTCAGCGCTTCTGGAGGCAGGTTGTTCCACTGGTTAATTGTTCTGTCTGTCAGGAAGTTTCTCCTTAGTTCTAGGTTGCTTCTCTCCTTGATCAGTTTCCATCTGTTGCTTCTTGTCCTGCCTTCAGGGGCTTTGGAGAAGAGCTTGACTCCCTCTTCTTTGTGGCAGCCCCTGAGATACTGGAACACTGCTATCATGTCCCCCCTCGTCCTTCTCTTCATTAGACTAGACATACCCAATTTCAGCAACCGTTCCTTATATGCTTTAGTCTCCAGTCCCCTAATCATCTTTGTTGCTCTTCTCTGTACTCTTTCTAGAGTCTCAGCATCTTTTTTTACATCGTGGTGACCAAAACTGGATGCAGGATTCCAAGTGTGGCCTTACCCAGGCCTTGTAAAGTGGTATTAACCCTTCACATGATCTTGATTCTATCCCTCTGTTAATGAAGCCTAGCAATGTGTTGGCCTTTTTGGCAGCTGCAGCACACTGCTGGCTCATATTTAGGTGATTGAAGAAGAATATATCACCATATTTAGGTGATATATTGAAGAAGTGTCTTGGTGGCCAATGGCCTTCAGCACTTAAAATCTTCTACAGATGGTCCTTCACTTAAAAATCCTTTATTTACTATTTGAAGTTACTGAAAAAAGTAAGTTGTTAATGGCTTTTCACACTTGCGACCGTTGCAGTATCCCCATGGTCACGTGATCAAAATTCAGACGATTGACATATTTACAGTAGTGGCCAAAATTGTGGAAAACCTTTTGGGAAAAGTGTACCGTAGAAATGCCACCTTTGGTTAAGTTTCCACCCATTTTTCTTCTCATTTCTTTGTAACTGTAGCCTTGTTCACTTAATAATTCTATTTTACGTCGCTTTCTGGGCGACCAGTCAACTCTTTGCACCATTACTTTAATTTTATTACGTTTTACAAGCTCACTCAATGAAAGAACACAGAAAAACCCAACCAACCTGATAGCGATCACATAACACACTGACAAACGTCCTCCTCTTGACTTCAATACATGACATCAAGAACCGAATCCTACTGTGATCTGATTGGCTCATTGGCAAAACAAGATGACACCTGATTGGCTCTCTAAACACTCATGCTCATTGGCTACAATCAGATGAAGGAAAGCTACCTGAGATCAACCTAAGCAAGTTGTGCTTCCTTTTTCTGGTTATTTGGCTATACCTTTTCATAGAATGCAGTACAGATAATTGAACAAACTTGGTTGCATTACATTCTTGATTAAATTATCTTTCCATTGATATATAATTTTATGGCACTATTCCTTTTTTTTTTTTTTTTTATTTTTTTTTTTTTTTTTT